GTTCAGCTGTGGCAGGTGATGTTGGCAATGGGAGCAGCGGAGACACCTTTCCTGCTCCGTGCGGGGGGCTGGACGCGATGATTTCCCGAGGTCCCTCCCGGCCTTACAGTCTAGGAATCTATGAAAACCGGTTAATGTGTTATAGCATCCTCTGTCCCGGCACCTACAGCTGAATTGGCACCGCAGGCACGGACACCCGTCATGACGCTACCAGGGTGCGTGTTATGTTCCTCATCTCGAGACGCAGCCTGTACAAGAGATTCAGTTCACTCCACGTAAATCATTAGATTGGTGCCTCAAGTCCATTTCCCCCTAGCTTCTCTTCCAAACCATTTTTCTTTGGAAGCCCCCCCCTCCCTGTGCTGGCTGGGTCACACATGACTAATAAGGGGTGGCCGGTGGTTCCCGCCGCCTGCCCCAGGGAGAAGTGTCAGGTCGGCCTCCTCTGCTAGCCACTGCATTTTCCTCTGGCTGTGGCCAATGCAGAGCATGGACCAGTGGCCAAGGTGCCCGCTAGACTGCACCACGGCTCAGCTCTCAAATGTTTGTTTGCCAAAACCTGGCTGCCAAAGTTGCAGCTGTGCCCACGTCTCCCAGCGCAGTCCCAGGGCCCTGACTGAGCCCCTCCCCGCCCCCCCCCGAGAAATGCTGGAGCCCCGGGCTTGGGCATTAAGCCTGTGCGAGTCAGCAGCTATTCAATCCGGCTTCGGATCCGGCCACTTCGGATACCAGCGATCCGATACAGAGCTCCGGACCGGGTTTCTGCTTTGATCCGGCTGAAGCGGCTCCGAAGGGCCATAGGGTATAATGAATCAATGAAATATCTATAACTTTGTTGTTTTTTGTCTGATTTGGATGAAGCTCGAAGGGATGGTAGCCTCTGCTGAGAGCTTGAAGTCTGCCAAGTTTCAAGAAGATCGGTGCAAGGGTTTGGGAGGAACTGTACCCCAAATTCTTGAAAGCAAAACTCATGTCACGTCTACGTGTTACACCACAGTGGGGTGAAAACTGCAGGGGTGGTGGCCCCTGCTGATGCCACAAAGCCTGCCAAGTTTCAAGAAGATCGGTGCAGGGGTTTGGGGGAAGCTGCACCTCAAGCTGCGGACAAGCAAAACTCGTGACATGGGTGACACTGTGTGTGTTAAGGCGCAGCGGGGTGAAAGCAGCAGGGATGGTGGCCCCTGTTGCAGCTGCAAAGCCTGCCAGGTGTCGAGGAGATCGGTGCAGGGGTTTGGGGTTCTGGGGCCCTGCACCCCTAGCTGCTGACAGGCAACACTCGAGACATAGGTGCTTGTGGGACTGACTGTCTCTGTCTTGGGGCAGTTGATTGTCTGTATTGGTTATTTCCTCTCCTTGGTCTGTCTGTGGTTTTGTAGGTGTTAATTGTTGCTAATAACTGGTTACATTAGCTAGCAACTGTGTATTGAGCTGGTCCCTGATTGATTGGTAACTGGTAACAAAGCAGCTTAACAGCCAGGCCTGCACTAGTTGTTTCCTGACCCCCGACTCCCCCACCTACGGCAAATACAGCTGGCTCAAGACTCGGACTCAAGACTCATGGTAGAAATCGTTCTTGAATTGATGACAATCTGGCCTGTCAGCAGTAGTATGCGATACTGGCATGGGGTGCCCTGAGTATCCAGGGCACAAAATGTACCACACAAAGCTTCCCTGGTAGTATACAGGCCTTTAAACCACATGGAGCAACACTGAAGTCAATGAAAATCTCTGCCATCAGATCAGTCTGACTGTGATCAGTCGACTTCAGCATTAGGGTCTAAGTTAGATATGACCCTCCTTCCTACTGGGAAAGATGGTATCAGGATTAATAAGCACAGCCGAAGTTACACAAATGTTTGTTTTGGAATACCTTGTCTAATCTCAGCTTGTCCAAACTCTCATTTACTTAGTAAAGTCCTAAAGTTCTGCTATTGCAAATGGCCAAAAAGTGTTGCTGTCTTGTCTGAGCTGAGCACCTCAACACCTATAACATGCCTCAGCATCCTAAATCATTCCTCTGTCTGAGATCCTCACACTAGGTGTCTCTGAACCTCCTCCGAAGAGCCTGATCCCTATTGAAGCACACCTGACATGCTGCCAGCCCAAAGCACAGCAGCCACAGCCATTTTTACTCAAAAACAGTGGAGGGTGGTGTGCTGTCTCCTTTTATAATATGACTATATGGCACAAGAGACACCCCACACTAGCTCTGCATGTGCCAGCTCTAGAACCAAGACTAGCATAATGTCATTAGTGCAGCACAGTGGCCACACTAATATGCCCTGCTCCTCAGCAGAGTTAGTGTCCACACAGGGAGTTAGTGAAGTGCACTGTAAATTCACACCCTACCTCACTACACACTAGTATCCCTATGTACACAAGCTCTATGCGTCGTGTGGCAGTGGAAGATGAAGAGAGGGTTCAGAGGTATGACACGACTCATTTATCTTTTGCAGATGATGTTTGAATTGGAAGAGTGGAGACAACCACTTAATTTGTTATAGCATCCACTGTCCCAACACCTAGAGCTGAATTTTCACCATGCACACTGAAACCCATTACTCTAGCAGGGTTGTGTGTTATGGTCTTCATGAGACACAGTCTATACAAGAGATTCAGTTCACTCCATGTAAATAATTAGATTGTTGCCCTTGGAGTTGCCTCAAGTCCATTTTGTCCTTGTTTTCCCATCCATAACATTTGTTTCTCTTCCAAATCTTTTTTTATTTTATTAATACATTCCATACAGCTTACTTGTGCAGCATGTGGTGGGACTTTGCTTAGCAAATATTTACATTGTTTCAGTAACAGCTTTTTAATAACACTCTGAAGGCTTAAATGATAAAAGAACTCTATCCTGTGGTTCTTCCACCTCTTATTTTGGCCTCAAGCCTGTTGGTCTCAGCTAGGCAGCCTACACAGGATGCTCTAGCACTTAAGAAAAAAAATGCACTTGTATCTACATGTTTCAAATTTGCAAATATCATTAAAAATGAACTCAAAGTTTTCATACAAGTGCAGGCAGAGTTTATACACAAATGCATCTCCATTCAAATGCATGGATACATACAAGCACATACATGCACAAACATACACAAAAGCAAAAGAATCTTTTCATTTGGTAAACTAAAATATTTTGTATTCTGCTGACCAAAATCATCTTCCAGAGTTTTCAAAATACTTAGGAGAAAACATTTATAGCTTTATTTTCCCCAGCATATTTATTTAATTATTTATGTATTTAAAATCTTATGTTTATTTCTTTTAAAACTTATTTATTCCCCCCCCCATTTTATTTGTTTGTTTATTTCACTTATCATTTTCATGTATAATACAATAAATCTTTGATACAGCTCTTATTTTTTACTCTTAATATTTTTACTGGAATGAAAAACAATTTGACTTTAAAATTTCAAAGAATGTGTTTGTTCCCACGGGTGACAAACATCTATTTGAACCCCCCTTTTACAAGTTCTGTAATCAAGTTAAAATCATAGGCCAAGCTAATAGGCCTATGATTACGGACCTACCGAAAACGTGAAATCCGGCATTGTCCACATAAGTAGGCAATGCCTGTAAAATCAGGGGGGAGGGCAGGGAAAATCAAATGCTGGTTCCTCAGACAGAGCCAGCAGTCCTCACAGTGCTGTGGCCCCACTGCACAGTCCACCATGGGAAAAGAGGGAAGGGAGGGCTACCTGCACAAAGGACAGCCCAAGATGGCTGCTTCCTCTGCCCTCACCCCTGATTGGCTGAGTGGACTGCCCGTCATGTGGTCCTGCCCCTTTTCAACAATCAGCAGTGGGGGGCAGGGCCACTGGGACCCCTCAGCCAATCAGAAGCAGGGGGGAGCCATCACAATCTGCCCACGAAAATGGTGGCTGGCTCTGAAATTTCCCCATGAAATCAACTGGAGGAGGCTACATATGATAAGCTAACAGGCCTATTATAGGCCAAGCTAATAGAAACAGTCTGATCTCATGAAGTACTGAGCACCCTTCCTTCCTATTGACACCCTCACTTTCTATTTATACAGACAACTCTTTTTCCAGGATTTATTTAGGAGCAGGCTGAGGCTGAGATTCTCACACCTGACCACATAGGGGGTCAGACAGAAGTGACATTTTTCATGCGACCTGAAAGTGCTCTACAGCTGTGGCATATCACACGTGCACAGCTGCAGAGCACTTTTTAAATGGCCATGTGTGAAAAATTAACCCTCATTAAATCAGGTAGTAAATGAAAGTGCTCTAAGAGCTCCTTAGGGAACATCTATACAGTTCCCTGTGAGAGTTATGTGTCATCCCCCTGGTCTGCCACAGGGAGGAGGCAGAGAGCTCAAGGAGACTCAGCCCTTCCATCCACGCTGGCTGCCTCTGTGTGGGCAGGGGACAATTGAGCCAGCAATTGAGGTGGGCCCTGGCTGGATCCACCCCTAGGGAGAGGAGCCCCAGTGCCTCCTGGCACTGGCTCTGGGGCAGAGAACCCCCCAGGTCCCCCCACCCGCACTGACAGCTGCCAGGGGGCTTCTGGAGCCCTGGCCAGTTTACAAAGCAGGCAACAGCGCCCCCTGCCACCTGGCCTCTGTCAGTGCATGGAGGTACTGAGCCCCCATGCACAGGAGCCCCATGTGTGCTAGGTTTCGATGGCTCTATAACTTTAAGTACTTTGTGTAAAGTGCAAATGTTACAGTGTGATCAAGAAGCACATTATAGTTTCTGTAAGAGCACCCTATAGACAACTGCTAGTTTAGACAAATTCCAGCTATGCCCATGATCCCAGTACAGCTCTTCTTGTATACACATACTATGGAATATAGACAAGGCCTGGCACATAGATGGTGGCACTTCATCGTTATCATTTTTGGAGCAGTCACCCAAAACTGTTAAGTTCAGTTACGAGTATATCCTGTAATCATTTCACAACAACGGGCTATCAAACAAACTAGCTTAGCTGGTTTGGAAGCTGGTTCTCTTCTCTGCTCTGTAATTTTAAACTATTATTATGGGAACAAAGAGGAAAAAAGAGCAAAGACATAAATTACAGATCTGGGGCCAAACAATCCCCCTTGTGGCAAGAGCTGCAGGTAGAGGAACAACTAAGTGGGAAGAGGTACTGAGGTCACTGCTGTGTCACTTGGAGTAAGACCAGATCCATTAGCACTGCAAGGGGTGCAGACTTCCCTCCCACTTTTTTGTTCTGCGAGTCACTCTCTATGCCTGCCATAGATCTCCTTTATTTTCATTTCCATGCTGCACAGCAGTGGGGCTTATACTGGCTTTGCATTCTACAGAGGACGCAAAGCCAGCCTACAATGGAGGCTGGACTGTAGCTCTGAAGTTGTATTGTTCTGATTGCCTAAGAAAATAAAATGTTGCTGTATCATTTAAAAAGAAAAATCTGTAGGGTTATAGCTGCTTCCTTTAAAAAAATAAGAAAAGCGACAACGGGCGGTGCTTTCTTACTCACACCGTACCTACAATGCTCATCAGTCACAGGTGGCAATTATGGGGTTACTGCTTCTCTCCTGACTACTCACTCATTCTTAAACTTGTAGGGCTCAGTGATATGAGAAGAAGTAAAGGTTAGCTTAGGGTTAGCCAACAATGTTGAAATGGAAGGTACTAACCTGTGGTTACACTGGGGAAAACATACTTATTATCAAAGAACTGTGAAAGCAATGAAATCTTCCTATCAAGAGACCTCACTGTAATATTCGGCCACTAAAGTTTTGTTCAAAGGTGGCAAAAGGATTCCTTTTCACTTTTATATGTGGAATGTAGGCTAATGATATTTGATGATATTATTATTATGTAATAATATTGTATACAGCAGTGGTTCTCAACCTTTTTGAAATTGAAACACCCCGCATTAGACTCAAGGCACCCCTCCAAAGCTTGTGTGAATTGGGTGGTACCTGATTTTAAAAATGTATGTATACATTACAGAGCTTACCTCCTTGCAGAGGGGCCAAGCAATGGGGTTGGGAATTGTCCAGACAGGGGCCAGCCTGAGCTTGTGCTTATCTGCTTATCTCCTCACACCTCCATTATGCCCTCACACTCCACAACACCCTTCAAAGGATCTGGCAGCACCCCAAGGTGACCCAGCACTCTCGTTGAGAATCACTGGGATACAGGCTTCACTCCAAGCATTTCAAAGTACTTTGCAAATGATGAGCATACCTCTTTGGAAGGGAGGAAAACATTATTATGGCCCTATTTTACAAGTGAAAAACTAAAGGCTTAAAAGGTCACTTTAATGCTGTGACTAGGACTCAGATGTCCAAACTGCCAATCCCTTGCTCTTCCCTCTAAATTGTGGTGTCTCCCTTCTTTTTGAGATGCATTCCCATTCCCTGTGAGAGTTAATCTTTGTTTTTAAATTGTGTTTTAATGGCTATTCTAGTCGCTACTGCCCAGAGTTACAGTGCATTTTTTTATTAATTGTTCAGCAGTACGGAGCACATTCCAGCTGGACTGCTGTTACCAACTGGAGTTTAACATTTCAGGAAACACATATTTGTGGTTCAAGCCTAGTGTTTTTATTATTCAGTTCTAAAGCTGGAATGCACCCTCATTCATCTGAGAATCAAGAGACCAAATGAGAGATGAGAGTCAAATAGAGAAGAAGCATGGCCAGTACTCACAGTTTGATGATCATTTCTGAACAGCAATCCAGGCTCTTGAGGGCAGAAACATGTCAAAGGATGAGAAACAGAAGTTTTTCTTCTGTTGCAAAGGTTTTCTGCTTCTGTGGGTGTGTCTACACGTGCAAAAGATCTGGGAGCAGTTTACTCTCGAGTAAACTGCTCCAAAGTAAACATTCCCAGCAGGAACGACTCGTGCCCCCGGTGGCAGCGGGAGCGTGGCAGCGGCAGCAGCAGCGGGAGCGCAGAGGCAGTAAGCGGGGGAGCTCTCGCAGACGTCACTGGCGCTGTTGGTGGTGGAGGGGAGGGGGTGGCGAGTGCCGACCAAGGGTCCACGACCACCTGCAGCCGCCTCCAGCAGCATCAGCAGTGGCCAGTGCCGATCTCGGGGGGTGCACCGCCATGCTCAGGGGGTGCACGTGCAGCCACGTGCACCCCCTACGCATCGCCCCTGACTCCCGAGCATGTGTCTACATATGCAGGGATGCAGGAACAGATTTGCTGCTCCTAGAAGCAGACTGCTCCCACACCCTGCAGCCCTGCAACTGGCCCCTGCAGCAGCCAGGGGGAGCCCTAGGTTTCCCCTGGGTGCTAGCCCAGGGGCCAGGAGACAGGTGTCTTCTGGTAGGGGCTGGGACATTGCTCCCTGCCCCAAGAGCTGCCTGCTGCCGAGATGTGCTCCACCACTGGATCCCGGGTGGGGACAATGTCCCCGCCCTTATCTTCCAGCACCAGTTCTGCAGTCATGGGGCCAGTGCTGGGAGATCCTTATCTCCCAGCCCAAGTCATGAGGTTGCCCGCGGGGGCTGGGAGATCCTTATCTTCCAGCACCAGCTTTGCAGTCACAGAGCGGAGGCTGTGGCTGCAGATTGTGGAGCGGGGGCTGGGAGCTCCCTGCTGCCAGGGCAGGGGGACATTGTCCCTATCTGGGCTCTGGTGACAGAGTCTGCCTTGCCAGTAGGCAGCTCCTGGAGCCAGGGAGCAATCTCCCACCCCCTGCTGCCCAGCTCACTGGGAGCACATTTGTTCCCAGTCAGGCATGTACGTGTGCACTACTGTGCAGTTACTAATCGCAAGTAAATTTGCTACTTGCATTTGCAGGTAGCAAATTTACTCGTGATTACAACCAATTACTGTGCAGTAAGTGACTGCACATGTAGATGTGAATGATTGTTGTGTAGTAATTAGCTCTACTACTCAGTAAAGCATCTTGTGTAGACCTGCCCTGTTTCTCCAAAAGGCCACAAATTTATCCCTATATCTGCGATTTATTCAGGTCCTTGAGGGTCCCCATCATAAAAAAAATCCCAAAGTATAATCTATGATGTTTTACTGTTTATGTGCAGGAAAGGCTGTTAAAAAAGGCATGATCCAAACCTGTAAAAGTCTATTCTTTGACTTCAATGGGCTCTGGATGAATCCCAGAATACACATTGACTGAAAACCATCAGACAAAAGATGTTTGCTACTTACAGTAACTTCAGGCTACAGAGAAATACTTAGAGCCACTTTTTCAAAAGGTTGGTTGAAACACATTTACAAATGTACATTTACAATGCATATTTACTGCATATTGTAGCCCTCTTCATAGTTTAGTTTAAAAGGGCCACAGCTTATAGCTGACAATGTTGCATCAGCCTTATATGCTGATTTATTCTTAGCAGCCTCTCTGTGTAAATGAACCATAAGCCTTTATTTGCATTCCACAGAAACACACTTTCTTGCTCTCTTAGCTAATTAATGTTTATGACCCTACACAGAAACAGGATCCCTCCAGCAAATTTAAGAGTTAGCTTTGTGTTTATAGGTAATCTATCTAGACAAAATGCGTGCCAAATAACTGTGGAAAAGTCATTATTTCTATTTCTCGAAACGGAAGACTTTAAAGGGGATTTTAGAAAG